AGTGAGTGTGACCAACTTTTTTTTTCGTATGACCATAGACTTACAGTCAATGGAATAATAGTATAGAAATGGTTTATTGTTCTATACGATTTCCGCATTCAGCCACAATACTACTTGTCAGTTGTCGAATCGCTGAATATACATTGTCATCTGTTTGTTTACCTACAATATTTAGAACAGAAATCTACGTAAAGTGTAAAGCATAGTTTTTACATTTTTGCTTTTACCTTGATCCATTAGTTCCACCATTAGTTTTGCTAGTGATTGAACCAGCCAATTCTGAATCATTGAACTCATCAAGAAAACTGAGGTGTAGCTCATCGTTTGTTGAGAACGTATTAAAGCTTCCTTTATTGTTCTGTCCGTTGCATCTAAATCTTTTGAATTCATATGATCTAAGAAGCTATCGTCCATCCGACATTCGTGTTTCAAAGATGCTTCAGCATGACATGGTATGTCTTTTAAGGAGCCATATTCTAATACTTTTCTGTTGATTCTGACAGCCAGGTTCTTGCTTATTCTTACCGAATTTTCATAAGAAGTTCTCTGTCCTCGCAAGGCTTCTTAGAAAAGTTAATTTTAAATTATTCTGGACAATGAGTAATTTAACGATTACGTTCTACTCAGACAAGGAATTCAAAAACCTAAAAGTGGCTAATCAGAATGTAATAGCGAGATGATCTTTCATTATCACAGTCTGTACTGGCTCAGTAGATAAGAGCACGGCATGGGATGCCGTAGGCCCTAGACGAATCCGCCGATTTTTTTTAAAATTTTTTTGCACAATTCAGATGTACTACTAACGCAGTTTAACTTCTTGAGCATTTTTTAGATCATTGTACAAAACAAGAATTAACTTCTTATCAGTTTTTTATGAAATTCTTATGACTTTCTTATCAGATTCTCATAAGACTCTTATCAAACTATATTCACTTTCCTGCATAATCCTGTATAAGAATTTGATAAGAATCAGGTAAGATTCTTACATGAATCTTATTGGAAACTTATAAGTTTCTTAACTGACGCTTATATAAGAATCGACGTCTGTGGTATATCCAAGCACACCTAAGAACATCTTACACATGCATGCAGTTACCTTACATATATCAGATGGAATACGATTTCTCCTATTTCATACTACTCTATTAATCAATTTATTATGGCCAGAGTGGACCGGATGATCTGGAAGCAGAGGAGGAAAAGTTAATTTCGGAGTGATTATGGCAAAGCAGTCTATGTGTTAATTCTATGATTATCTCAATGTATTATATGTTCGGAAGATAAAGATGAATGATAATCTGATAATGTATTATATGACATTTTTATAACTCTTGTCTTCCTATCCTCTCTCTTCGCATTAAACTGTATTTAGAATGCAATGAGTCAATCGTCAAAAATTTTCCCTGATTGAACGA